CACAGTAGGTCTAGATGTAAAAACAGGTCGGTAGATCGGCCGGTTCACGTAGTGATGGAAAACGATCAGTTTCGAAAACGTCTGTCGGGCCCAGTTCAGTGCTATCTGGAAGGGGGGAAAACGACCGAACCACACGGGACAGAATTCATATTCCCGCCAGGACTGACCAAAGACTAGTAGATTGAGGCACGCCTCGAAGATTGCAGGAAAAACAAGCTTTCTCCCATACCTTAATGAAAATATACTCGTGAAAAGACAGCACAAATTAGGCGTGAACGGACACTGATTTGTTAACATAGCGACAGCAGAAGTTGAGGAAGACAGCTAGCCCAGTAAATCATGCGCCGTGTGTATTGCGACGACGGTAGCCCACTGCTCCGAAATGCGACAAATGACAAATCAGCACAGAATGGGAAGAGGGCAAGCACGTCTAGACAACAGATGAGAAAAACTGCTGTCTGTGGATTTCACATAGCGGACAAACAAGAGGGAGAGGCGAAGGGCTTCGGTTATGCAGTAAATAACTGCGATCAAGTAATCAGCAAAAAAACCTAACGTCACATTTTGGTGATTTGCTATGAGACGGTCCAAAAAAGAGGAATACTGAAGTCGGTTTCTCTGTACAGCACGCTAACGCACAGAAACATATAACTCATCGATTTTGTCAGCGGTGGTCAGTGTGCAACCCCCAGTAGGCCAAGCTAAGACCTGGCACGAGCATGAAAACCCTGACCAGGAGTCTGGGTCACATAGGTCCCGTTACGCTCCCTGATTGGGGACCTCGGGATGATCGTACCTGATGGTTAGAGGCACTGAATGATATGGCTGGGTGTCATAAACAGTGGCGTTCGTGCGTCTTCTCAATTTCATTGCAAACCTAGACCACTGAACTTCTCTGTTTTCTGTTCGACTCTACCTTCAACTTTCCTCTCTTCTCCTATTATTCAGCCAAAAGACAGCAACCAAAACCGGCGCACGGTGCATGGTCAATGGTTGTTCAAACTGAACTAAGTAGGCGAGCTGCAGAATAAGATCCAGGTGATTTTCACACCGAAAGGAACCCGCGAAATGAAGAAAAAAATATGGTTCCTTTTTTAGCTGATCCTGTTTCGCGCACAAACCGCAGTTGGCTATAGGCTCAGGGAGCATCCAACTCGAGTTTCGTTCCGATCACAGTTCAATTTGGAGGGGGGGGAGGTGTGTGACCGGGAACCCTATCCTTAGTGTGCCAATCAGTTCATACCACAGCTGAAATCGGTGAATCCAGTTTTTGATGGTCTTTACCGGCATTCGGGATGTCAGTTTTCATTCGGAATGTGTCTGTCAACCTGCATAAGAAATCGAATTTGATAGGAGGCTCTCCATATCGTAGCTAATTAGACCTGTATTACCACCCTTCGTTGTTGTCAAACAAACTGCGAACGGTAGCTTTCCATGTGCGGTGGTGGTTGGTGACGAGGTTAGTGTAGATAGAGATTAAACCGCGGGATCATAGTCGGACTCCGTAGATACGTCGTGGACCTGAATGGTCCGACTGAACCGTGCTTGGTTCATACTTGTGGCTGTCCACCAGATAAGCATAGACGAATCACAGGAATACGATTAGAAATGGCGTAGACAGTACCATTCGAGAATGCATTCTCAACTTTTATGTAACCAATTGTGAATGGCAAAAAATCAGAGCAAGGGTTGGCTAAAACGCGGCCCATTGTCTCGGCTACCCACTATCTAGTTTGTCACTTCCTGTCAAGCGGTCAACTCGGAAATGGCCACAGTCCATTGGATGGTAGCTTCTGTGAGCCATAAGTGTCAGAAACAGACCAAAAACTAAAGCGATACCCCAATGTTACGTGAAAATCGTCCCATAAAAGATACCACTTCTCTCGATCACCCCATACGTATACGCCCTTCATGTGAGGAGTCTGGAGTTAGAACCCAGTATGGGTGAGTGGATACACTCCCCCCCCTGCCCCGGGGTGCGTTCTAACGATAATGACCTTCGAGTTCAGTGCTTCCTGTGTGTGTTTGACTAGAAGAACGGAAGATTGCGCGCAAATTAGAGGCACGAAAAGTAACCTGTCAAAGTCCAAATAATATGCATCCCAAATCAATACTCCCATTTAACTGTCAGTCAAATTATAACGTGCATTTTAGATGAAATACACTATCAATCGATTCTGTGCAACCGGACTTCATTTGAACACGTCTGCCCAGGTTTCGATGGTCATTTCATCGGCAAGTTTTGTCCGTGAATTTCGCATCCTTACCGTCCCCGTGCCCCGATTCCAGATGGGGATAAAGAAGCGCTTCCAAAACAAAGTGGTGCTGATTAATGGACACGGCCTGATGATGATGCTATATCCGTGCCAATTCCAGAGTGTTCACGTTGTCGCCCAACATACACCTCAGGGGAAATCTATTTTAACTAGTGCTTAAAATAATGTCGGCTTAAGTGCCGGCGCCATTCCTCTGCCCTCAGTTTGTGTGTGTGGGTGTTGTATTTGGAATTCCTTACCAACAGACAGCGCTTGGGTATGCATAAATGATTCTTTCAGGTAGAATCATTGGCGTCTTCAAACCTCGACAATGATAAAAGTACACAAAACAGCGAAGCTATGTGATATTTTTCATACACCGGGATACTGTGGACAGCATTAACCACATCAGTTTGACCGGAAAATGTGCGAAAATTCCGGTAGAACAACAGCAGTCCACATTATAACAATTTAGCTTTGACTGCAGAAAATTACCGAATTTGCAACTAAACAGTTTACAAATCCACCGATGCTTAACAGTAACAGCCAGCTGTTTCCTACTAAATGCATCACGGACCGCACACATCATATTTCACAATGGAAAATTTAACCACGTGGTCGAACACATGGAGATGATCAAACATTATGATTTTGAGGTTATGAATACAGACTAGCACATCAAGTTCGCATGTTTTCTTACCACAAATCACGGCATTGTGGAGACTGAAAGAAACGAATGCATTCCACACTCACTGTCCGGAAGATCGAATAAACTAGGACTGTTTACAACTTGAACGGAAACACAGAGCCAGTGGGAGATAACAAAGATGTCTATCATCACTAGAGCACACTGATGATCTTGGAGTTTAAGCCCGTTGCAGAACAGTGCACCAGTACCGGTGACTTTAACCACTCGGTTACCATTGCGATTTGGTTTAGAGCGCCATATTGTAGTTCCCTCGTTCGAGTTGAGTGAAGAGAGTGATCATCTTTGTGGGAAATAAAATGTAAGACAGAGCGAGCCCTTTTTGATTGGCTGCGCTACCTTTCCTCCCTCTCAGATTTATTCGTTTTAAGATGATTATTATAATGATGACCGCTGGAAAGATCTATTCATAGTTACACCTTAGTGGTTTCAAGTATGATGCGCATGCCTTTTATGTCCTCGTTGGCTCGTTAACGGATTCCTATCAGAATGAAACACACCAGCACGGTGGCTGGCAGTCAGCCCTTAGTTGCATCAACCTATCTGAGATGACTGACTGTGTCTTAATTGGTCAGGTCACTTCTCGTAAATATGACAAATTTAATGTGCACTCTCGATTCATGCAACCACCGTGACACGTGTGTAGCTTGTATCCAGAAATCCTGGCTCGACCAAACGATGGGGCACATTATTTGGAATCAATGGTAAGGATAGGGAGCACTGCAAAAAAACAAGACGGAGTATGCGTAGTGATCATCTACATTAACTGTCTGTGTGTATTTTTTACTTCCTTGTTCTATTTATTGAATATACAAACGTACAGTCAACTTTCAGGTAGGGGGCTGCCGCCACACAAAGGCTACCTGGGGGGAAATAGAGATATAGGGAAGACGGGTGGCGGTGGAGTGGTTTGAACCCGGGACACCCAGGTCACTAGTTGGTGACCTAACCACTTGGCCACCACCAACCAATGTCTGTGTCACCACATTGTTGTTGACGCTTTTAATAAACATTTGTAGACAAAGTAATTACTAATCACCCGAAACATTTTTCCTCAATACTCACCACTCCATTTTCTACCGGAGATCACGCTTTGATTCTCACAAGTCCCACAGTAGACACGTATTGATCAAAATCTCGCGCTACCGTGGCCCTAGTAAAATCTAATGCTCTCAATGCCTCGCGTTTCGAGACACGGTCGTGGGAATGAATATGGTGTTACTCCTTAAGGGACAAAACATAGCCGAAATTGTACCCACTTAAGTTGTTACTTCTATTAGTTGAATACCTTATAGAAGTACGATTTCTCGATTTCAACAACCGTTGTTGGGGCATCGATTGTAGGATAACGAAACTCCAGTAGAAAAATAACAAGAATGTATTGATAAAAATGATTCACAAGTATGTCAGATGTTATAGTTTCATTTTGTTCACGTGCTGACTATGCCGTTTTATGTCAGGCTACCTCCGATTCTTCTAATCGTGTGCAATTTTCTGACAACTTAAACAAAGTTCAACTGTTGTCCGCTACTTCCGGTCTCTTTCGAATGTCTCTATCGCTATCATGTTTTTCTTTCTCAACAGATCCAAGATCGATTAGCTTTAAACAGATATTCCGGGTAACCTGTACATACTGATAATCTTTACTGAACCTCTTCCATGATACACATCGTTACTAGATTTCGAAGACCTTCTCCACATCTGAAAACTTCGTCGGTTGCGAATTCAACAGTAGATTATCTCCAAATTCGTGCACCAGTGCGTTTTACCGTTTTACTTTATTGTTTACCTATTATCTTTCCTAATATCTCAAAAAAAAACAATTTAAGCTAATTCCATGTGCACTGACCATGAATGGCCATGTTTCCTCAATCAGCGTGAACGTCATTTGAATCCATGTAAAACGTTTGCACACGAAACTCATGTGGATCCCACTCATCTACTATAAATAGATTTCAGCTCCTGTTGTTCCCATCCGTCTGGTAGATATAGTTGAATTCCGTCCCGTACAAACATATACCGTAACTCTACGCTACTCCCTTTAGCACGTATTCTGGTTAACAAGGAACAGAATGTCGTAGAAATTCTTAAACGTTTCGAAACTTTTCTCACTACTGTGTACAGCTTTGACTGAAATTTAGATACTATGCCTACAACAACGGTCAGAATTAAGATACAATAAAATCGAAAGAATGAACAGAGTGAATGACACTAACCTTTTCCTGAAATCACTTCTTTTTCCAGGCGCCAACGCATTCCAAACTGGAGAGAAATAAAAAGGGGCAAACAACATAGTACAAACTGATTACAGTAATCAGAGTTGGCTATTAGGGTTTTGCAGACTAAAATTGTCAGATACAAGTAATAAAGTTTTGTTTCTTTTAGTTTCTATTGAATGCACAATGAAGGGAGGGGCTACGAGGAAACCAAAGCAACCTGGGGAACTACAGAAACGGGTAAGATGGGTGGTGGTGGTCGCGGTCGTCGTAATCGAACTTACGACCTCAAGGTTGCCGTTACAGTGATCGCACCTCACGAATAACGAA